GTGTGTGTGTGTGTGTGTGTGTGTGTGTGTGTGTGTGTGTGTGTGTGTGTGTGTGTGTGTGTGTGGTGTGCGTCTGCTACTCAAACATCTATGCGTAAGTCTCTCAATAATGTTGGATGTGTTCCTCTGAAGATTGTTATACACATCCAAATAGTTTTGGAGAACGAAACATTCATGCATACTTTTGCACACACACACACATATACACACACACTCAAACTTGGTCATAGAAGAGTTAAAGTTCATTTCGAATCTCGAAGCAGTCGTAAAGATATGTGCTGGCCTGGCAGGCCCATAAAACGTAATGGGGATTTTGTGCTGACTTTTTATTAAGGAATAAAAATTGAATAATCAGGAAGTAAAGAGCATGTTATTATTATTATTATTATTGTTAGCATGTTATGTTGCTATGTTATGTTATATTACGTTCGTTCTATCATATTTCGTTGCATCATGCTGTATAACAGTTAGAGAAGAAAAAAAATTAGAAATTAATAATATGGTTTTCGAGGCTTAGCTACCTGAGTCGAGGACATTGATTTAATGCAAATATACAAAGATGTGCATGTGCAGTCCAAGAAATAACAGTGGTCAGTTTTTTGTATGAGATTCTTTGGTCATTATTACACTGTACACGGTATACAAATTTAAAGTTGGTTTTTAAGTTAATTTAAAGATAGAACAATTTAAAGAGAGAATACTATAAATAATAATCACGACAATGTGTAGATGAATGTGCATTTATAACAACTTAAACGGCAATCATAAAAAATGTTTTGCTTATTTTTGGAACTGTTTGAAGTTTGGTGATAATCCTTTGTCAAATTTGAAATAAAATAAATTCATTAAAAAATTAAAAATAAAAACTTGAAAATTTGGAAAAAATATGTTAAAATATAAAATAGTGACGTAGCAAATGAAGCGTAAGAGCATTAAACGGGATCGTCGTTAGCTCAAATATGTTCCTCGCCAGGAAACAAAATGACCACCGGAAGTAATATGGATGGATGGATGGACGGACGGACGGATGGATAGATGGATGGATGGATGGATGGATGGATGGATGGGTTGATAAATAGATGAATGGATGGATGGATGGGTTGATAAATAGATGGATGAATAAATTTATCTATTATTCAATTTTATCCAAACATCATCATATCCTTATCACAATCATCATCATCGTCGTCGTTCACAATTGTCGTCATCATCTTTCTCATCATCATTCTTGTTAGTTTTCAACCTGTCATCATCACATTCATCACTACCATTACTATCTTTATTGCAATTGTCTTCGCCAATATTATGATGATGGTGGTTAAAATAATCGCGATAACTTTCATCATCGTTATCATATAGTTATTTATCATCGTCTCTTAATGTTCAATGTCTTTGTCATCCCACTCAGACTATTTAAATAATTTATTCCTCCAATGGGAGCCGACATGCATTTTTGAGGCACTTCTTATTTCTAAAAAATGTCGGAAACTTTTTTGAAATTTCGGTCAAAGTAGTGAAATGTGAACTACTTGTTAGGGAGATTTTGCTGGCGTTGATAATTTCCACACAAAACAACGATATGAAAATGTTATGGTTGCTAAAAATAGGGTGATGCGACAAAAATAGAAATGTTGTCTACAGTTTTTAAAAGAAAAGATAAAATGTTATAAGCCGACCACAAAATATTATTGAAGTCGGCTTTAATGTAAGTGTGCATGTGTATGTATGTTAAAACCAAAACATGATGAGTGACACTGAACCGTCAAACATCAAGTAACAAATGGATTAACACTTTGATTTGTCGTTAATTGCACATGTCGGCATTCAGTTGGATATTTTCAAGCACACAGACACGCAGGAACCGCTGCAACAAGCACGAAATGTGGTTAGTTGCGAAAAACAGTTCCCTCCCTGCTGTCGCCTGATCTGACGCTGATCATTTTACATATTACCTTAAGAAATTTAAGGGTGTTGGGGTCCATCGGGCCGAGAACCTCGATACATATTAGCAAGAATTCCATCGAGGGGAGGGCGTTCCCATATTTTTTCATTTTTTCGTCCGCTGCCCTGGCCGCGGCCAAACCGCATTCTTTACTTGTCAGGTCAATATTTTGTGGTCGGCTTATAACATTTTATCTTTTCTTTTAAAAACTGTATGTATGTATGCATGTATGTATGTAATCAACGTGTGTGTATGATGTATGTATGTATGTATGTACGTGTAAATGTGTTTATATTTTTTTATGTATGTATGAATGTTTGAAAACATGAATGTTTGATGGGATGAAAAGTATTGAATTATTTAAACTAGGTTTTAATGCTCATACTTGTGTGTTTGCTGTGTCGAAGTTTTCTCGTAAAGGCATTCGTCTTCAATAATAGTATGCGTATGTGTGGGTGTGCAGTTGTGTATTTCATTGAACTATATAAGTATATATAAATGTGTTTTGGTGTGTGTGTGTGTATTGTACGTGAGCGTGCTTTTAATTATACATTCGTCCAGTTTTGTGTGCACGTGTTCACAGCGAGGTTATAAGCGTGTGAATAGTTATGGTATCAAAGTTCAAAAACTTTAAATTTAGAAGAAAATTATTAGAAAATAGAAAGTCCGAATTGAAAGTATGACATGAAAATAGAAATTATGTGCCCCAAAATTAATTTTAAATGTATTTTCACGGCAAGGAATTGATTAAAAATTGGAGCGGAAGGAAGTGAGTATTGCAGGGGGCGTGGAAGTTGAAGTGGTTCGCTTTCAAGCCAGTGGATGATGTTTGTGTCGACACTTCAATTCAATGTCTCATTGATCAGTCATACTGCACACACACACACACACGTACATACACACACACTTACACACAGACGTACACACGCTTACATAAAAATTTATACATATATATATATATATATATATATATATATATATATACGTGCTAATGTTGTGAAATATCAAAGTTGTTCAACGATGTATGAATATAATAACGTAAGACTGGTTGATCGATCACACACAATCATTGGAATAACTGAGTTATTGAGTTTATGGGTGACGTATCTAGTGACTTTTAATCAAATATTTCGCAATTAACTTTTCCATCCATCATCAGGACAGACTTCATCAATGCCAGCAGGATTGATGTTACATCTGTTCTTACTTATTCTGACAATAGGGCAATAGGGAATGGTGTCTGAGTAAGTTGAAGCCAAAACTCTCTATCCGCTCTGCTGCAGCTGCTACCATTACCACCAGGCCACCGCCAACAACTACACAGCCAGTGTTCTGGTCAAAGAAAATAATTCTTACAATAATGAAAAAAAATTATTTTATTTTTTTATTTTTATTGAATTCGTCGCAACAGTCATACATTCATTTCACAATGACTGTCTATTCAATCAATATAAAAGTAATGCAGGGTGACGAGACTATGATGGTGATGAAGATGGTGATGATGAAGATGGTGATGGTGATGATGGTGATGGCTGTGTTGATGTTGGTGATGATGATGATAATTGTGGGGGTGATAATGATGATGATAAAGTTGATGATGATGGCGATGATGATAACGATTACCTCGATCAGATGATGGCGGTTATTGACGGTAACATGAATCATTTGAATAGTTTCAACGATTTATAAATCAACATTAAAATAGTTTTTCATATATACTGACAAAGAATTTAGACTACAAGATGGCGTAATGATTAGAAGTGCATGGCTCTGCTGTTTTGTAGTAACCAGGTTCAAAAGCAAAAAGACTCAGTCTATCATTTGCAATGTTCGTAATGCATGGTTTTCTCACGTTCGTTTTGTGTGTGCTTCTGTGTGTGTGTGTGCTTCTGTGTGTGTGTGTAGTGCGTGTGTGGTGTGTGGTGTGTGTGTGTGCGTGTGAGTGTGTGTCGTTGATATAAATTTATAATAAACAAGCGCAGGAAGCGCAGTAAAAATTTTTTTTTGGTACTAACACAAAATAAAACGACCCTATTAACAAAAAAACACTGTAAAATTGATGAAAGCTCTTCATTAAAAAAATATTTAGAATAATAATAAAAGAGCAATATAATTGTTTAATCAGTAATAATGATGAAAAAAAGCAGAGAAAAGTTGTTTGGCAATAATTGCAGGAGTAATAACATTGAATTGATGGCTTATATGGCTTAATAGCCATAACAACATCAACAACAACGCTGCTCATATTGAACCCCTGACACCGTAAAAACATGATGGCTGGTTGGTCGATTGGTTTGCTGATTGGTTGGCTGGTTGTTTGTTTGGTTAATTGGTTGGTTGGCTGGTTGTTTGTTTGGTTAACTGGTTGGTTGGCTGGTTGGTTGGTGACATGATGACAGCAAGCGCAGTGACAGCAGTAAAACAACGGCATAATAAAAAAAAAGAAAACAACAACAACAAAACAACGTCATCGCGGTAAAATCGATCGAGCTAACCGATTAAAAACATCCAGACAAAAAAACAGGAGCAACAAATGATTAAATCATAATCATTATCGACATCATCATCATCATCATCATCATCATCATCATCATCATCATCATCATCATCATCATCATCATCATCATCATCTTGACAACTACTACTACGTAGTGAGTTGAAATGATCTAAATGACAATGTCATGAAAATAACAAAGGGGTGCCGATGATGATGATGATGACGATGATGATGATTATGATGATTTCGAAGGTGACGACGACGATGACGATGAAGATGATGATGGTAACGGTGATGAAAACGATGACGATAATGATTCTAACGATGAGTAGGATGATGATAATGATAGCATTGATGACTCAGATACTCCGCCATATGTATGCAAATTCCTGTCGTGTTTCAGCGTTGTTCATGCGGTCATGTATATAAGTCACCGCCAGCAAATGTTTTTTATATCCTTCCAAAAGAAAAATATAATAACAATAAATAAGCTCATTTATTTATTTATTTATTTATTTATTGTTTTTTACAAAAATGTAAAAGCACTTGAAGGAATGCAAAATGGCGACAGTCAGTCTAAACACACACGCACACACGCAAACACGCACACGCACACGTGTACACGTACACACAAACACACGTACACACAGAAAATTGACAATAATTATGCATACATTCAAGCTATACAAACATAAAAATGCAACCGGGTTTTAAATCACATGTACTACACATGCAACCACACCAACCACCATCAACCACACCAACCACCATCAACCACACCGACCCCACCGACCACATTACACGAACACTAAAACATACAAACACACGGAAACACACACACACAAATCCACAAGTACCCAAAAAATCCAACTTGTGTAAAAAAAGTTTTTATAAATTCGACGAGCGATAATAAGCTATTTTCTTTTGAAGTGTTCAACTGCTTATATTTTTTATTTTACTGATTCAGCTACAAATTGACAGTAGATGATGATGATGATGAGGAAGAGGAGGAAGAGGAGGAGAAGGAGGTTGGTAGAAGGAATGGAAGTGTCGGTCCCCAGCAAAAATACCAAATAAAAATCAATCAGACCATGACCGTCACTTTCATATCTTGTTCACTTTTACACAACTAATGTTGGTACTCACAATTACTCCACTCCATTGCCCCTGTTACTACAATTCTTGCTACAGTTATAACTAAAAAGTGAGGTACCGACAAGATACTTTAACGATAGAGCATCCGTCCTTATGCTTCGTTCGGCCACCGGGTTCGAGTACAAATGCTTCTCTGAATATTTGTTCTTATAGTTTTAAAGCTTTTAAAAAATATTTCTATCAAGTATCTATTACTTGGGCAATTTTTGTTTTCAAAAAATTTAAATACGAAAAAATTTTAAGATTTAGAAACAAAGCGATAAATGAGGTACATCACAAGTTTCTAATGCTATATTTAACCTCCAGAGGTCAAGTAACAGATAAACTTGATGGCGATCTTGATTAATGTTCGATACCACCAAACTAACAAATGGACATAATATGTTGAACGCCAAATGCAAGGCAGCCAGAGGGGCTTCAACAACCGGCATTCGTAAAAGAAATGCTTTGGGTTTTGCTTGCATCTCTAAACCTCAAAACTTCCATGTCAATAATAATCATTGCTTGCCAACTTCGAATTCTAGAAAATTGACATTGAGAGATCAGGATGAAAAAGTGTGAAAAATTTGATTTCATTCACATGGTGAGGAATGAGATTGTATAAAATTAATCAGTGGTTGCAATTTTAAAGATGAAGAGAGCATCTTGGAAGACAACGCTCGATTGCATCAAGAGACCAATGAAGTTTTGACGAAGGACTGCGGAGTGCGAATATCCAACCGAATTGCAGACGTGATTTAGCGCCATTTTTGTCCTCGTTCAACTTTATACTACTTTTTGAAAGAAGGTTTTTAACGAATATCGGATGTTTAATGTTAATTACAACCTATTAATAATAACAACTCTGATATTATTTCTAATTTTCATAAAAAATCGGAACGTTAATAAGTCTACTGAAAATTTATACACACATATTTATTGAGATCCTACACACACACACACACACACACACACACACACACACACACACACACACACACACACACACACACACGCACACACACACACACACACACATATTTATTGAAAATCTTCACACGCACATATTTGCACGTTGGCTCTGTTTGAGTTGCTCCCATAAAAAAAACTTTTGTTGATATAAAATGGAAATTATAGAAAATTGCTGGATTAGGCTGCTGCTGTTTAATGCTGGATTGATGCAAGGACGCAGATTAAAAACGTACTACAAACAAATACACACACATATACAAAACACACACATACTCAAAAACATCCATACATATAATATAATATATTCAAACACACACACACATACACACACACACAAAAACACACATACTCAGTCACATCCATACATATAATATATTCAAATAGTAAAACATTTATGCGCACGTACATTAGTGTAAATTAAACAGAGTATTAAAAAAGTAAACCGAAGTGTTACAAATCCTGTAGGAACGAGAGTGAAACAGAAAAAGAAAAATGAGAAAAAAGAAAATAAAGTTTAGAGTAAAAAGGAAAGAGAGAGAGAGAGAGAGAGAGAGAGAGAGAGAGAGAGAGTGAGAGAAAGAGAGAGAGTGGAGTCAAAGATATAACTAATCGATGAATGTAAACGGGTATACACGATACATACAGTCTAGCTCGAGCGGGGACAGATAATTTTTTCCATTTTCCAATCGAATAAATGCCGACACGTAGTTTTTTCGACCTTTTTCATATATTCGCCCTTTAATTATTGATTAGATAGCGTGTTTGTCATGTACGTGTTTTGTATGTGATGTGTATATGTACGCGCATGTATGTATTTCTGAGTTCATACAAGTATACATATGCATACTTGTATGAATATATGAGTGTATGAATTTTGTACAGATATTTATTTACATTTATGCGAATGTGTGTGTAGATGTGTGTCTGTGTGCTTATATGTGGGTATCGCCGACACGTGTGTGTGTATGTATATGTGTATTTGTGTGTGTATGTGTGTGTATTTGTACTGCGCAAATATAAATTTCGTCACCTGATTAATCGTTGTCGTTGACCTTAAAATCTCCTTTTGATCGAGAATTTCAGCTTGAATGCACATAGACTTATAGACGAACACATAAACATTTCTCATAATAACCAATCATTATATCGACAAATACATTTCAGTTTCAACATATGCACGTACATAGAGTACTACTAACTTGAACAGACAAGCATGTTCATAATTCAGACAAGCATGTTCATAATTACATTGAGATGTACACACATACGTATAACACGCAGATATGCGCGCGCGCACCACACACACACACACACACACACATGTACAATCACACCTATAGACCAGCACTGCACATGAACACAAGTGTTAATATCCACCCACTGACAATTTATGATTGGAAAGGAATGGAATGTTAGCGCACTTGTTGCAGAAGATAAGATTAGACTGCTGCGACTGCCTCCCGACATCATCACACTATTCCTTCTGACAAATGTCATTGTCTCTCGGTATCAGAAATGGTCTCACATAGACGGTATCACAAGTGGTCTATTAAATAGACGGTATCACAAGTGGTCTCTTAAATAGACGGTATCACAAAAGTCTCTCATATAGACCGTGTCGCAACAAATTCTTGTGAAGTTCAGTTAGGTGAGTGGAGTAATGAAAAAAAGTTTTTTTGAAAAATATGCTTCATTTCACGTTCGTAATTGTTTTTTTAATACACTTGACGGTAGTGATATTATAGCAGCAAGAACATCACCACAAAGTTTCACAAATGATTTAAAGATTAAGATGACGTAAGTTGATTAAGGAATATGGTGATCTGATAAGTGATAGTAACAAAAAATCTTAGCACCCAACAGTGATAACAAAACTTAGCAACACTAACAATAACTATGGTGAAAATATTAATAAGATTCATAATCATAATAGTAACAATAATAGTCAACAGAAGCATTCATAAGATGACAAACATCACCTCAGATTAGTGTTTGTGTGTGTGCGTGTGTATTATGAAAACGAAACGAAATGTTTGAAGAGTATGTATTTGTGAGTGTATTTACGTGTCAAAATGTGTGTGTGTACGTTTGTATCCAAATGCTTGTAGTTAAAACCTAATCGAACCTATGTATGAGCGTATCGTATCGTATTTATATATCAAAATGTCTACACATATATGTATGTATGTATGAGTGTACGTGTCGAAGTGTCTGTGTATGTATATATGAGTGTCTGTACGTTAAACTCTATTAAAGTTTTTCCACGGCATGTTTAAGTTTCCATTAGATAAGTAAATAGAAGTGGAGTGTAGATCAGAGCGGAGCAGTTGTCAAATATTTATGAATGTATGAGGCGACCTTGCCTGTAAGTCTCACACTAACGATATCATATTTCACATTTCTGCATGTGTGTGTGTATGTGTGTGTGTGTAGGTGTGTATGTGTGTGTGTATATAGGTGTGTGTGTGTGTGTGGTGTGTGTGTAGATGTGTGTGCGTGAATGCATGGATTTATATGTGTAAGGTTCATTTCAATGAAGGAATGATACCAATGGTGACACAGTTTCGTTGCGGTTACATCGCGGATGTTAAATAAAAATCGGTTAAGTTCATGATCTGGTTCGTTATATTTCTGAATAGGTATCCGTGTTTAGATCATAATATTTTTTAGATTATTTTATTTATTTATTTATTATTTTATTTAGATTTATTTATTAATTTTTTATCTTTAATGTCGTCATTCATCTATCTGCTGTTAAATAGTTTTTTGTGTATCAGTTGATTATTTTGGTGGTAATGACGAAATGATGATGACCTAGTTTTTTCATTTTTTTTTGCTATTTCAGGAAGTCATCCACTCAAACACTATTTTTCATACCAATTTAAACGGTTTAAAACTTGAGCTGCAATTATAAAACTTTAAATTTTACGCCAAAATTTTGTGAAAATCACGCTAACTCTGTAAAAGATATTCAATGAGGGGGTCGCATTCTCACATGAGCCCCCTGTGGCAACACCTCTACTATATCCATAAACACACCAAAAAAATATTTATTGCTATTTATATATACAAATCGTCACTTGCTTTCAATATTTTAGCTTTCTAAATATTTTAGTTTTGTTTCAAAAAAGAGAGAGTTAATAAAGACAAATTAAAAAGAAAGCAGAACTTAATGCTGCCTGCTACGTGACTGGGAATTTTATGGCTCCTTTAAAAATTGGTTTTTTAATTTTCGGTTTGTTGGTTTTGTGTGCATTAGAAGTTTTCTTGTGCAAATAAATAAACAAATGAATAAAATACATAATAAATAAAAAGATATGCACACACACACACACACAACACACACACACGCACACATATACACAATAATACATACAAAAAAACCTAGAAACGCATATCTCACTGAACAGTTTATAATTTAGCTCTTTAGATCTTACGCTTGCATAATTGTTCGCTTGAACTGGTTAAAGAATTTTTAAAATCGAAATGGGAGCATACATGAACGCATTAGTGAATGTATTTACTAAAAAGTCAAAAACAAAATGGAAACCTTGTAATGTAATAAATTTATTGCGAAATGAAGTGTGATAAAATTGTGCAGAAAAGTTCCATGCATAGCTGGATGTGAACAGTCGAAACGAACGAGCTTGAGTGTTGAGTTGAGGATATGTCATTCACCTTACAGCACGTTCAACTCAAGTTGAAAGTTCAAAGTTCATTCATGAAATCTAATGATATGCCTACATTTTTAAATCATGAAATTTGGTCAGATGTGAGTTGAGGAGTGCTTTAAAATTTATTTGATGGACAAGAGCGTTTGACTGCAGAAATCCGCTGGGGCTGGAAATGCGGGTGGCTGCATAATATTTGCATGCCAATCCAACCAGTTTTTTTCTACTGTCAATAATTAAAATGCTATCCAACATATACATTTGCACCGCATTCAATAAAATGAGCGAGAAAAAGTTTGTCTTGAATATTTTTATCTTCCTTACACATTGTATATTATTTTCATTCGTTCATTCATTCGTTCGTTCGTTCGTTCGTTCGTTCATTCATTCATTCGTTTGTTAGTTCGTTCGTTCGTTTGTTCGTTCGTTCGTTCTGTCCAGCAGTCATCAGCCCGCCACAACAGCCCAACCTAATAGTGATCCAAGTGAGACATCTCACTTTAACCCATTGAATGCTAATAACCTGAACCTGCAATCTAATCATTGACTCTCTGATTCCTGATATCGTTTTTTGGTTTTATTTTTTAAATTCAGCATTTTAAAAAAAATGATATTTTTATTTTAAATTTGTCAAGCAAACTGTAATCACGGACTCTATTTAAACAGTAAAAAAATTCTTTGAATATATATATATACCCTGTCATAATGAAGTTTAATTCATTTAATATTTTTTGAAAAAATCCCATTTTAATTTATAATATTTAAGTTTTTAAGTTTTAAACAAAAAACATAAAAAATAACTCTCCATAAAATGATAAGGCGCGTCGGCACCTAACTTTTGAGACCCTGGCGTATTCATATTAATATAACAACATGTACGTATGAATGCCTTCCTTAATGAAATTGGACAGCAATGTCAGGCCGTTATAAAGCAAACTATTATTAGATTAATCCGGATACATGTGTGTGTGTCAGAGTGAGTGTGTGTGTGTTGTATTTGTGAGTGTGTGGTATGTGTGTGTGTGTGTGTGTGTGTGGTGTGTGTGTGTTTTTTGTTGTGTGTTGTGTATGTGTGCGTGTGTGGAGTGTAGGATATGTATGTGTCCTGTCCGACCGATAAATAGTGTGTGTATGTTTTTACATGTGTGTTTAGCTGCATGTGTACGTTCATGTGTGTGTGTGTGTGTTTTGTCTATATGTATATGATTTATGTCCGTGGTATTAGTTAAATATGTATGAGAGAGCATTTATCATTTTTATCATGATGTGTGTGTGTTTGTGTGTGTATGTGTGTGTGTGTGTGTGTGTGTTTGTGTATTGGTGTGTGGGTTGGTGTGTGCGTGTTGGAAATGTATGTTTCAGTGCCATCGTCGTCGTCATCATTTCACCGCCGTCATAATCAGCAGCAGCACTATTACAGAGGCTCCATGAATTCATTGTTGTCTCGAATCGATCACTGCTTGTGAAACAATTAAAAACTTTTCTGTTGTTGATGATGTTGCCCTAGTTGTTGACGTTGTCGTTGCTGTTGTTGACGTTGTTGTTGCAGTTGTTTTACTGTTTGGTGCTGGTATTGTTTGACATTGCTAAGGATGAGTAAGTTAATGCTACAAATAAACTACATACATATTATTGTGTTGGGATGGTGGGTGTGGCTGTTGTTGTTGTTGTTACTATTGTTATTGTTTCTATTGTTGTTGTTGGTGGTGGTGGTATGATTGTTGTTGTTTTTCAAATATACAGAGTAATGTTTTTCCAATAGAAGGTATTTTATGCATCACATACATGAAATTCAGTGGAATGTTTCAAGTTCGTTTTCAATCGACCTCATTTCATTTCAGACTTTTTTCAATTTATTTTCCAGCCTGCGTTTGATTGCTTGAATGTACCAAATAAATGGGTCTGGCAGTGTGGTTGGTTCTGTGTGTAAGGTTACGTGTGTGAATGTGTGTGTGTGTGTTTGATTTAGTTTGTATGTGTGTGTGTGTTTATACCAAATATATACAGATACACGCATACAGTGTGCATGTATTTGTTTGTAGTTGGAGTAGAAGCAGTTGTAGTAGAATTAACACTTTATTTAAACCAAATGCTATTAAAACATTGAAATATTTTACATAGGAATGTATATTTAACAACATCAGCATGTTTTACATTTGAAGATATCTGTAAGATCTAAAAAAAAATATTAATCCATAGCTGTCAAGTAAGACAGACTAATCGTAACATCATTTATTGTTCATCCTTATCAAACAAATAGAACCGTTTATAGGCACGTTAAAAAATTGAAGTTGAGCATTTAATTTATAGGCTGACTATGTCTACGTCTATGTCTACGTCTATGCCTATCTATATTGCATGTACATTATTTCAGGGGTGGGCAAACTACGGCCCGCGGGCCACATGCGGCCCGCAAAGCTCTTATGTGGCCCGCCCGCGTGACCTTGCTCGCTTAATAAAAGGTCGTCAACCAGACATTATGACCAAAAAAAGGAGCCACAAATCTTAAAAAATTCTCCCCGGGTCGAAAAAATTTGCTACTTAAGTACATATGCGGCCCTTCATAAATAAAATTGTTCTCAATGCGGCCCTCACAGCAAAAAGTTTGCCCACTCCTGCATTATTTGATAAGAAATATGCCACTCGGTGGAACAATATTATCAAATTGATGACAAATCCTGTCGCAAAATATATCTCCTATCTCAATATCTCAAAATGAAAAACTTGTTTCCAGGCGTGAAACAGCCATCTTTAGAAGACGGACAAGATCCTCACATTTAATTTTTGGGCGGCCAGTCTCGATATAAATTTTTTATCCTGCTCAGCCTTGTAGCAAATTTCCAATTTTCCTTTTTTGTTACAAATTTCGTTTCGTTCATGTGTATTATGTATAAACCTTAAATAGCCTAAAGAC